TTTAATGGGAAAGGTGTCAGGTCTTTGAAAAGGCAATTTTTTTTCTCCAAATAATAATAGGGAACGAGAAGATCGCCGCGGCGCACGAATCTGCACATGCGTAGGATCCCGACAAGACATACAGGCAGGCGGGTACTAGTACCCAGGCGCGCCTGTCACCAATGACGGCACCAGGCAGGCACTAGAACCCAGGCGCACCTGTCACCAATGACGGCGCCGGGCAGGCACTAGGACCCAGGCGCGCCTGTCACCAATGACGGCATCGGGCAGGCACTAGGACCCAGGCGCGCCTGTCGGCGCCGGGCGGGCTATTTAAACCAGCTCTTGCAATGCTCACGTTGCCATATGGTCTTGTTCCTGTTTATCCTGTTCCTGTGAGAGTATCTTGTTGTTGCCGAACCCTGCCTGATCCTGATTACTGCTGACCATCTCCTGCCCTGACTCCTGGCTCGTTTGACCATTCTTCTGCCTGTCCCCGATTATCTGATCTCCTGATGCTGAACCTGGCTTGTGACCCGACGATTCTCTGCCTGCTGCTCTGTACCGCTCTGCCTCCACTGTTACCGACCCGGCCTGTCTGACTCTGCTATTGTTCCAGTGTGTTCCGTCTATCCATCCTGCACGGATCCATCCGTTGCGGTCCGGGCCTGCTCTGCCTCTTCACATCAGGCTCTCACCCAGCTACGTGCCACTGGCGGTTCCCTCTACCACAGCTGGGTGTACCCAGGGGCTGCGATCGGGTCTCAGTCTGCTCCAAGTCCATCCCCACCATCAGGGGCTCAAGTGAACAAGCAGATTGGGGCTTAGACTCCGCGCTCTGGGGAAATCCAGTCTGTGGAGCTCTAGAGCTACCATCGGAAGGTACCTGACAAATAAACATGTTATACTTGCCTGCTCTGTGTAATGGTTTTGCACAGAGCAGCCCCGATCCTCAGGTCCCCCCGCAGGCGCTCCTGGCCCCTCGAGCAAGCAGCTTGCTATGGGGACATCTTAGCAGGCTCGCTCCCAAGCTGCTGCTCTGCAGGTCCATTTACACACTGATTCGTGGTTCAGCCCCCTGCCCCCTCTCTCTCCTGATTGGCTCACTGGCTCTAACTGACAGCAGTAGGAACCAATGGCTCCTTCTGCTGTCTAAGCCAATGAGGAGGGAGAGTCCCTGGAGAGCTGAGGCTCTTGTGCACATCGCTATCGCTGGATCATGATGAGGCTCGGGTAAGTATTGGGGAGGGTGCTGCACATAGAAGGTATAGAATGCATGTAGGTAAAAGCTGTAACAACCACTTTAAGAAGGCCTTATGCAAAATATCTTGTAATGCTGCTGCATGATCAGTATTGTCAGTCCGGATAATGTGGTGAGCGCATGTGCAAAGATACACACACTAGAGGGGATTTACTAAAACTGGAGAGTGCAAAATCTGGTGCAGCTCGGCATAGAAACCAATCAGCTTCCAGGTTTTATTGGCACAAGCTGAAGTTAGAAGCTGATTGGTTATCATGCAGAGCTGCACCAGATTCTGTGTGCTCCAGTTCTAGTAAATTGATCTGCTGACAGCCTAAAGATTTACTGCTGCTGCTCAGGGCCTCTGGACGTCAGCAAAATGACTGCCTTCAGCAAAAAAAGGAACAATGCTGGAAGCAGTTTCAGCACACATCATTTTGGCAGCATAATTATTAATGCAGAATCTATATTCCTTGCTAAAGAATATTATTTTTTATGGTTATGGACAAAGTGCCACTTTACGCTCGTGGCGACTTCTATGGCATGTGGAACATTGCAGTCACCGGTCTCTAGGCCGTCTTGTACAGCGCACAGCCCCGGCTAACAGACAGGGGGGTCAATGCCGCTTTCCAGAAGCTGCTGTGGATGGGATTTAGCATTGCAGAGTGCTTGGCTGGGGAATGCTGGATTAACACGGTCATTTAATACAAAAACACTTCAGCTGAGCAGGCAAAGACTGCAATATACAGAGCAGAGGTCATCCAAGAGGGAGAGTGCAAAAGGTGGGGTGGACGTGACAACGAGATCATCCCGTGCAAATATCACCAAAAACAGGTTTATGGTTTGATGGAGCAGAATGCAAAGAGTAAAGGTTTACGGCTTGATGCACAAAAATCTTCAAGTATTCATACTTTGTTTTGTCACGTCTTCATGGCATCCAGGCTATTCCAGCAATGTGCGCATGACACATGCCAGCAGAGAAATATGAGCAAAATTGTTAAAACAGGCAAACCCCAGTCGATAAATAAGCTCCATTTTTTTTTTTGGTTCCCTGAGAAAACAGGCTTTGGAAATATTGGGGCTTTCCTCTATCTCTGTACTCCCCAAAGGTGTGCAGCTTAAATTCAGCAAGTTATAAGGGGCAGCACAGTGGCTAAATGGCCAGCACTTCTACCTGGCAGTACTCAGGTCGTTGGTTCAAATCTCAACCATAGCACCGCCTGCCTGGAGTTTGCATGTGCTCCCTGTGTCTGCGTGGATTTCCTCCGGTACTTTGGAGTGTGTTTCCTCCCACACTCCAAAGACATACTGGTAGGTGGATTGTCTCCTGTCTAAATTGGCCCTAGTATGTGTATGTATGAATGTGAGTTAGAGACCTTGAGGATTAGGGTGTGAATGTACTATCTATATATTTATTTATTTCAGGTACTTATATACGCAGTCAATTTACACAGCGCTTTACATATACAGTCAGGTCCATAAATATTGGGACATGGACACAATTCTAACATTTTTGGCTCTATACACCACCACACATGGATTTGAAATGAAATGAACAAGATGTGCTTAAACTGCAGACTGTCAGCTTTAATTTGAGGGTATTTACATCCAAATCAGGTGAACGGTGTAGGAATTACAACAGTTTGCATATGTGCCTCCCACTTGTTAAGGGACCAAAAGTAATGGGACAATTGGCTTCTCAGCTGTTCCACGGTCAGGTGTGTGTTATTCCTCATTATCCCAATTACAAGGAGCAGATAAAAGGTCCAGAGTTCATTTCAAGTGTGCTATTTGCATTTGGAATCTGTTGCTGTCAACTCTCAAGATGAGATCCAAAGAGCTGTCACTATCAGTGAAGCCATCATTAGGCTGAAAAAACAAAACAAACCCATCAGAGAGATAGCAAAAACATTAGGCGTGGCCAAAACAACTGTTTGGAACATTCTTAAAAAGAAGGAACGCACCGGTGAGCTCAGCAACACCAAAAGACCCGGAAGACCACGGAAAACAACTGTGGTGGATGACCGAAGAATTCTTTTCCTGGTGAAGAAAACACCCTTCACAACAGTTGGCCAGATCAAGAACACTCTCCAGGAGGTAGGTGTATGTGTGTCAAAGTCACCAATCAAGAGAAGACTTCACCAGAGTGAATACAGAGGGTTCACCACAAGATGGAAACCATTGGTGAGCCTCAAAAACAGGAAGGCCAGATTAGAGTTTACCAAACAACATCTAAAAAAGCCTTTACAGTTCTGGAACAACATCCTATGGACAGATGAGACCAAGATCAACTTGTACCAGAGTGATGGGAAGAGAAGAGTATGGAGAAGGAAAGGAACTGCTCATGATCCTAAGCATACCACCTCATCAGTGAAGCATGGTGGTGGTAGTGTCATGGCGTGGGCATGTATGGCTGCCAATGGAACTGCTTCTCTTGTATTTATTGATGATGTGACTGCTGACAAAAGCAGCCGGATGGATTCTGAAGTGTTTCGGGCAATATTATCTGCTCATATTCTTCACAACTCATTGGACGCTTCACAGTGCAGATGGACAATGACCCAAAGCAGACTGCAAAAGCAACCAAAGAGTTTTTTAAGGGAAAGAAGTGGAATGTTATGCAATGGCCAAGTCAATCACCTGACCTGAATCCGATTGAGCATGCATTTCACTTGCTGAAGACAAAACTGAAGGGAAAATGCCCAAGAACAAGCAGGAACTGAAGACAGTTGCAGTAGAGGCCTGGCAGAGCATCACCAGGGATGAAACCCAGCGTCTGGTGATGTCTATGCGTTCCAGACTTCAGGCTGTAATTGACTGCAAAGGATTTGCAAACAAGTATTAAAAAGTGAAAGTTTGATTTATGGTTATTATGCTGTCCCATTACTTTTGGTCCCTTAACAAGTGGGAGGCACATATGCAAACTGTTGTAATTCCTACACCGTTCACCTGATTTGGATGTAAATACCCTCACATTAAAGTGAACAGTCTGCAGTTAAAGCACATCTTGTTCATTTCATTTCAAATCCATTGTGGTGGTGTATAGAGCCAAAAATGTTAGAATTGTGTCGATGTCCCAATATTTATGGACCTGACTGTATATTGTACATTTACATCAGTCCCTAACCCTCAAGGGGTGTACAATCTAAGGTCCCTAACTTACATTCATATACAATACTAGGGCCAATTTAGACAGGAGCCAATTAACCTACCAGCATGTCTGTGGAGTGTAGGAGGAAACCGGAGTACCCGGAGGAAACACACGCAGGCACAGGGAGAACATGCAAACTCCAGGCAGGTGGTGCCGTGGCTGGGATTCGAACCAACAACCCTAGTAGTGCCAGGCGGAAGTGCTAACCATTTATATAGGCGTACCTCGGTTAAAGAATTTAATTTGTTCTGCGGAACTTTTCGTATTGTGAAACATTTGTAAACCGAAACGTGGTTTCCCATAGGGATGCATTGAAAACCAATAAACCCGTTCCGGAGGTCAGAAAAAAGTCAAAAAAAAAAAGTTTTATTTGTTCAAAACTCTTTATAGAGTGTACTTTAAAGGCATAAAGTGCCTATTTAGATAGGAGCCAATTAACCTACCAGCATGTCTTTGGAGTGTGGGAGGAAACCAGAGCACCCGGAGGAAACCCACGCAGGCACAGGGAGAACATGCTAACTCCAGGCATGTGGTGCCATGGTTGGGATTCGAACCAATGACCCTAGTACTGCCACAGTATGTCTGCATTTTATTGCACCATGCTACAGTTTGCTATGCAGTGTCAATGGGGCACACAGAAAACAATTGTTTTCTGTGTGTCTTTGTGGTGACAAGCGTTTTACAAAGCAATAAAAGGTCTGTCACTGCACTGTGTGTGAATTCATCCTAAACAGGGGCGGACTGACAACTCATGGGCCCCCGGGCAATAGGAGATCATGGGGCCCTGTGTCCTTGCCCAAACTCAAAAAAGCCTATGAAAAAGGTACCAGGGGCATCTCATGGGGCCCCCTACTGACCCCCCAGGCCCTCGGGCAGTGCCCGAGTTTCCAAATGGTCAATCCGTCCCTGATCCTAAATATCATCCATTTCGTGTTCAGATCAAAATTATATATATTCCAAAACCAAAAAGTTATAGCGCTGACAAGAACACAAGTATAGGGATTGCAAGCCAACACGGTGGATGGAGAAGCAGCTGCTTTGTGTACAAGGGATGAACAATTGTATCAGCTGTCAGTACATGCTGAGATGAGATGTACTTCAACAAAAACTACAATTATAATGATATTCTTAAAAATGCAGCATAAAGGAGATATGATCCACAGCTCCGCCATTGTGTGCAGCTTTTAAACTGCCTATAGGAGATTGGCATCAATACCAGAGAGCCATCAAGCCAAGGAAATCGATACACAAGGCAGAAGGGAGGATAGATTATTTTTGCTGTACAACAAGCTGCACGTTCAGACCACAAGAAGAAGAGATGGCTGAGGGCTCTGTTCTTGGAGAGAAGAAGAAAAAAAAAAAAAAGAGTCTGATGTACGAACGGATCGATCTCTTACTGCTAAGGACTACAGAGGGGTATCAAATCACTCCTCTGCTGCGATGAGCCAAAACTGGGCCAAGGACAGATCGCGTTACCAATCCGCCTTGTGTCAGCTGAGGACAGCTACAGGAGTGTAGGTATTTCACCTGAATTCCACGTTTCACCACGGTTTTTCTACCCCCTCCACAATCTAAAGAAAGCCAGCTTTTTTTTTCCTCCCCAAATTTCCACATCAGCCCACTCCTTGCCTTCATTTTCGCCAAGCCAAGAATGACAGGTAACCCCTTCTCATGCAGGTTCCTTGAATACCTATGTTACATATCCCAGTAAGCATCAGCCTATAAACCAGGGGTGTCCAACCTGCAGCATGCATGTGGTCCAAGAGGGCTATCCATGCGGCCCGACACAAAATTGTATTCTTGCGGCTATGAATGCAGCCAGGACACGTCTGAAGGGCTTCCAGGGATGCCATGTTTGGCATAGCACCCTTACAAAGGCCAGCACATAGAAGCATGGACTGGGCATGTCTGGAGGGATACTGGGGATGTTGTGTTTGGCATAACACCTTCAGCAGTGGCCAGCACAGACAAGCAGGGGCCGGGCACATCTGCAGGGATGCCGTGTTTGGCATAGGACCCTCGGCAGTAGCCAGCACAGACAAGCAGGGGCCGGGCACATCTGCAGGGATGCCATGTTTGGCATAGAACCCTCGGCAGTGGCCAGCACAGACAAGCAGGGGCCGGGCACATCTGCAGGGATGCCATGTTTGGCATGGGATCCTCAGCAGTGGCCAGCACAGACAAGCAGGGGCCGGGCACATCTGCAGGGATGCCATGTTTGGCATGGGATCCTCAGCAGTGGCCAGCACAGACAAGCAGGGGCCAGGCACATCTGCAGGGATGCCATGTTTGGCATGGGATCCTCAGCAGTGGCCAGCACAGACAAGCAGGGGCCGGGCACATCTGCAGGGATGCCGTGTTTGGCATAGAACCCTCGGCAGTGGCCAGCACAGACAAGCAGGGGCCAGGCACATCTGCAGGGATGCCGTGTTTGGCATAGAACCCTCGGCAGTGGCCAGCACAGACAAGCAGGGGCCGGGCACATCTGCAGGGATGCCGTGTTTGGCTTGGGATCCTCAGCAGTGGCCAGCACAGACAAGCAGGGGCCGGGCACATCTGCAGGGATGCCGTGTTTGGCATAGAACCCTCGGCAGTGGACAGCACAGACAAGCAGGGGCCGGGCACATCTGCAGGGATGCCGTGTTTGGCATAGAACCCTCGGCAGTGGCCAGCACAGACAAGCAGGGGCCGGGCACATCTGCAGGGATGCCATGTTTGGCATGGGATCCTCAGCAGTGGCCAGCACAGACAAGCAGGGCCCAGGTACGTCTGGAAGGATGACATGATTGCAGTACACCGGCGGCACATGCAAGGACTCCTGCTAGCTAAAACCAACCAAGTAAGTGCCACACTGGCCACATGGCCCAGATTTCAGTTGAGCCCTCCAAAGCCTCCAACCCACAACCCTTCCCCCGCCCCCCCCCCCACCCCTGACATTGTGCCCAGCCATCTCCCATCCCTGCACTGAACACAAAGCACATAGTTGAAATCCGGTCATCTGCCCAACTTTTTCTGCTCACCGGCTGTCCTTATCATTTGTGTTTTTTGTGTGGCCCAGGACAATTCCTCTTCTTCCAATGTAGCCTGGGAAAATCAAAGGCTGGACTTCCCTGTTATAAACAGTGGATGGAGGAGGAAGGATCTAGCAGCACTTCAAGGAGGAAAGACAACCAGCTCCCCCTATAACACAAGAAGGAAAGATGGTGGCATGGGACTGGATGTACAGCAGCCACATGGTGGAGCACAGCAGAACAAAGTTGGGTTTGGTGGGCAGTTGAGTATGTTTACTGAAACCAACCCAGCAAAAAAAAAAAAAAAAGAGCAAAATTCCTCTTAAATCTGAGTTCCAGATATGAATATTTTTGCATAGTTACATTGGTCCAGCTTGGACCATGATAAGTACACAAGATCCATACCTGTAGGATCCCCGTGAAAGTTGGAAATCACTGTAGTAGACACCGCTACTACAGTGGTCACTGCCAGCTTATGGGTACCGTGCCAAGTGGCTGCCCTGCTGGTTAGTGGAGGATGCTCACTCGGCATGAGTGACCTTCAGAGAACACTACATTTTCTTAATGAATGCAAAGCATTCTGATTGGACAAGCTGGAGAGGCGGGACAGAGACGTCATGATATCCACCTTGTCCAATCATCCATTCTGTGTTCTGTGAATACTTGGTTGGTTGGAGAGCACCTGGTGTCGAGAAAAATGATTTTTATAATCGCTTATTGAAGATAAAAGTATACAAATACAGCCAACGTGTTCCGGGGGAATTGCCTCCCCCTTCTTCAGGGCTTTATTTCATGGAGAATGGTTAGACTCTTGAGAGGGTTAAATATATTCAATCAGTTTCTGGCATGTTGTGTTCTTTGAATGGCACCCATGCAGACTGAGCAATCTCCTATGGTCATTATCCAGCAGGGCAGACAATTGACATGGGATCTAGGAAGCTAGCAGCAATCACTGTAGTAGCAGTGCCTACTACAGTGATTTCCGAATTCCACAGGTATGGAATCAGCATGCACACATTGGACCAAGCTATACCAGCGTAACTGCAAGTATAACCGTACCTGGAATTCAAGAAACACCAGAATTATTTTGCGATGGGATAATTGTGGCCTTCCCTCAATACACTATGATGCTGGAGGGCTCCTACTATATGATATGCATCAGGTGACATCAGACTTACAGGCTTGGTCAGACAAATATGAAAATGCTGATGCCTATAGCAACCAATAAGAATTCATCTTTTAGTGATCTCACACAGCAAAGTGAAGCTTGCTTTTCACGAGTTGGCCATGGGCTGCAGAACATGCATGATGATTGCACCCGTTGTGTTTCTCTTTCATCATGACATGATCACAGCAACCCCTACAGAAGAACAAAAGCTCAGACTCAGAAATCTGCAGCATAACATTCTTACGTCCCGATACCCATCTATTTTCAGAGGGGTGAAAGGTGACCACAAAATCTCTGGAGTTCAAATGAAACTGTGGAGGAAGGAAATGGGCCCTCTGGAACTGTAATAACAAGCATTTCTTTAGAGAATGGCATGCAGGGGGCGAGGCTACACCCAGGCTGGGTCAGTGACACCATGATAAAAGATCGGCCATGTGACTTGAGGAAACACAAACATGACAAGAAATCCGACAAAACATATTGAGCCTCAGCCCAGCCAAATCTGATATTTTGGCTTTTGAAAGGTGCTGAGAGTTAACTTTTCTGATATGGGGCGGTGGTGGCAGAACAGTAAGAGGCTCCACTGTCATGGCTGGAAATTGGTCACCAACAACAATTGTAAAGTAGCTACACAACAGTCCCAACAGGGACACAATTATTATTATTATTATACGGTATTTATAAAGCGCCAATAGTTCGCTCAGTGCTGTACATTACAAAGGGGGACAGAACATGTGACAGAACAATACCAATACAACGCAAAACACGAGGGGATCGAGGGCCCTGCTCTTTCGAGCTTACAATCTAGGAGGGAGGGGATAGGGGCACCACAGAGGAGATAGCTGTGGGGGATGGGGTGGTAGGAAGAGTAGCGGAGTTCGGCAATTAGCAGGGGGTGGGGTAGGCTTCCCTGAAGAGGTGGGTTTTCAGGGTGCGCGCCTAAAGGAGAGGAGAGTAGGTGATAATCTGATGGGTTGGGGCAGGGAGTTCCAGAGGATGGGTGACACCCTGGAGAAGTCCTGGAGGCGGGAATGGGAGGAGGAGACCAGGGAACTAGAGAGAAGGAGGTCTTGTGAGGAGCGGAGTGTGCATGTTGGGTGGTACTTGGATATTAGGTCGTGATGTAGTTCGGGGCAGTATGGTGGACGGCTTTGTACGTCAGTGTTAGGATTTTGAATTTGATCCGTTGCGCAATCGGAAGCCAGTGGAGGGATTGGCAGAGGGGGGTGGCGGAGATGGAGCGGTTGGAAAGGTGAATGAGTCTGGCAGCCGTATTCAGGATGGACTGAAGCGGGGATAGCCAGCGGCGAGGCAGGTCAGTGAGGAGGGAGTTGCAGTAGTCGAGTCGTGATATGATGAGGGAGTGGATGAGCTGTTTAGTGGTTTCTGGGGTTAGGAACGTGCAGATTTCGGCGATGTTTGCGGAGGTGAGTCTGCACGAGTTTGTTAGCGATTGGACTTGGGGCTGGAAGGATAGGTTGGAGACCACAATGACATAAAGGAGCTGTGATGGCGTGTTTATTTCTGCTAATAAAGGCTCTGCAGAGGTGCATTCTGCGGGGTACCTCTCTAGGCAGACACCTCTCACTACAACATGGTTGAGGGAACTCCTGACATCCAGCCATTGGGCTGCCCAATATTTACTGGAAGTGTTGCTCCACCACTCCTGGAGGGACAGGCGGCAGCAATGCCAAGAATATGCACATGGTCTCTTACACCATATATAACTGGCATGGCAAGTTCTAAAAGCTCAGGACTGTCCCACTAATAGCCTCTCCCACAGGCGTGTCGTCCTAAAGCATGGCTTTACCAGATGTGCCTTACAGGCCAATGTCACACGGCTTCAGCTTGTAGGAGAGTGTGAGCAGCAAACCTTTACAAAGCAGAGCTTTCAGCAAGTTTGTCTCTTCTGCAATAAAGTGCTGTCTGCTTGTAATTTTGCTTACATTTTAGATTTGGTTCCACTTCATGTGTGTGTATGTGACCAGGCTGGAGAGGGGGGCTTTGCATGTTTATTTAGGCCATTTTCACACAAGCTTCAGCTTGTATAAGGGTAGTGTGAACAGCAGACTTTAATGGCTTCATTCTTCAAGCTTTTAAAACGGCCTTCAGCTTCAGTTTGTACATGTTGAACACAGATCCTAAATGGAATGCTGATTGCCACTTTAAAAAAGTTGCTAGCAGGCTTCAGTACTACCCGAAGCTGGTTGAAGCCTGCTAGTAGCTTGTTTAAAGTGGCAATCAGTACTCCAAAATACCTAATTCTTCCAAGTATGGTGGAGCATTTGACCTCTTCCTATGGTGCAGTGCTCGGGCCTAGCAGCCAATCTCTAGTCTGACCACTATCCTATGATGAAGAAAGGACATCTCCACCCTCTTTACACTCTGACATCAGCCATCATGAAAATACCCTGTGTCAGCTGGTGTCAGGGTCTAGAAAAAGCGGTGAGGTCACCCCCTCTATCACTGGGATAGTGGTTAGGCCAGTGATTGGATGCGGTGGAGTAAGGAGCGGAAGGTGGTCGCTCCAGAAGTATCATATTTTGAATTTTTTGCAATAACAGTCCCGCAAAGCAAATTAAATTCGTAAACCGAGGAATGCCTGTGTATATTTATTTATTTATTTCAGGTACTTATATAGCGCCGTCAATTTACGCAGCACTTTACATATATATTGTACATTCCCATCAGTCCCTAACCCTCAAGGGGCGTACAATCTAAGGTCCCTAACTCACATTCATACATACACATACTAGGGACAATTTAGACAGGAGCCAATTAACCTACCAGCATGTCTTTGGAGTGTGGAAGGAAACCGGAGCACCCGGAGGAAACCCACGCAGGCACAGGGAGAACATGCAAACTCCAGGCAGGTGGTGCTGTGGTTGGGATTCGAACCAATGACCCGAGTACTGCCAGGTGGAAGTGCTAACCATTTAGCCACTGTGCTGCCCATATATATATATATATATATATATATATATATATATATATATATATACATACATATATATACACCCTAACCCTCAAGGGGCGTACAATCTAGGGTTCCTAACTCACATTTCATACATACACATACTAGGGCCAATTTAGAAAGGAGCAAATTCACCTCCCAGCATGTCTTTGGAGGTGGGAGGAAACCGGAGTACCCGGAGGAAACCCACGCAGTCACAGGGAGAACATGCAAACTCCAGGAAGTTGGTGCCGTGGTTGGGTGTCGAACTAAAGGATTCTTCTAGACCATGTGGGAAGTCCCTCCTGGGTCAATTTCAAATGTCGCGGATAGTTCGCGCTGAACTGCTGCACCCTGAGCTGCAGGACAGCTTGAATGGGGAACAATGTGGGGCTGCTTATCCACCATCCGGACTATTCTGCGTTGCAATCTTTCATCAATTTTCCTCATCCGTCCACGACCAGGGAGCCAGGTGGAAGTGCAAACCAATTAGCCACTGTGCTGCCCTACAAATGATCAGCCTTTATATATTTATGCAAAACATTTATCCCAAAAGAAAAAAAAACTATAACAATTTGCTATAACTGCTTACAAACTACTCGCTGGAGTTCATCTTAAATTTAATAGTGTATCCAAATCTGCTAATCCATCTAACATTGCCCTCCCCCCAGACTGAAAATATTGCTGTCCAAAGGTGCCCCCTGTGCTCCGTCATCCAGGAGGTGTGTTACTGGCCAGATCACCAGAAGAAAATAAGCATTAAAAAAAAGAAAACAAATGTAGCCACCAGGGGCGGACTGACAACTCATGGGGCCCCCGGGCAATAGGGGATCATGGGGCCCCTGTGTCCTTGCCCAAACTCAAAAAAGCCTATGAAAAAGGTACCAGGGGCATCTCATGGGGCCCCCTACTGACCCTGGGCCCTCGGGCAGTGCCCGAGTTTCCAAATGGTCAGTCCGCCCCTGCTTGCTACTACTAGTCAAATCCATTATTCTAAAAAAAAATTGACTGAGACTGTTATTTTGGGTCTCTTCGCCCATGTATCATTACAGACTGGAATTTATGGAGGTAGTTCTCTCTGGTAGCTGAGCAGTCTCAGATAGACCCCCAAAGTACAACCTCAAGAACCATGGACTCTCCTATATTCGACGTCACTCCAAAACAGGGGCGGACTGACAACTCATGGGGCCCCTGGGCAATAAGGGATCATGGGGACCCTGTGTCCTCGCCCACACTCAAACCACACCCAAAAAAGCCTATGAAAGGTATCAGGGACATCTCATGGGGCCCCCTACTGACCCCGGGCCCTCGGGCAATGCCCGAGTTTACAAATGGTCAGTCCGCCCCTGGTAGCCACCGCATCTTAGAATCGGTAAGCTGCAGTATATTACATTTTTGGTTTGGGGTTTAATACAGCTTTAACACTGACACCATCACAAATGGTGTCACTGGAACAAATGTCTCAAATAACTGGAAGATTTCCCCTCATATGCTGTGGAAGTGGTCACTGTAAAATTTGGGATTTCCCATTATTTTCTGTTCCGGTGATAAAAGTCACCTGGACAAAAGGAGAAGGCGCAGACAGCAATAAAAACCTGGAGGGGGCTCACATCCCCACTTTATCCAAAAAAAAAAAAAAAAAAAAAGTATTGTCTTTGGATGCACATTAAAGATTTGAATCTCTTTTCTTCCACACAGGAGAGGTAATACATTTGCTTCACAAAGCCCTGATCTGGCTGCAGGATTTTTCATGCGTGGTAAAATTGAATGTAGTCACAGACCAGCCTTACCTTCAATCCGATCTTCATGCTGAACCCTTCAAACACATACCATGTGCGCCCAGCCCCGGGCACAGTGCCAGCATACCAGCCTTTCATGGAGATGGCTCATGTGACAGCAGCTGGCCAGGCTCTTCCCCACACAAATATTGCCGTTCCTAGGTGATGGAAATAGGAGAGGCCCCTGAAGCCTGGGACAGGCCGCAATGCAAAGTTCATGGCAAATATTTAATGTCTCCCTTGAGGCCTGCTAGTGAAATCTGATGTTATGGGCACAGGGAAGGCAGAAGTCATACACAGACTAGGCCGTGCTGCACCATCTGATACCATTCCACAGGTAGGCCGGATCTCCTAAATCAATTTATGCAAAAATGTTTGGGATTACTGGAATGTATTCCTATAGAACTAAAGGCAATTTTTTTTTTTGGATAGAGTAAGGAGGTGCGATAACCCCTGTCCTATTTTTTTGCCATCTATGTCCTATTGGGGAGATTTTCCTTCACTTCCTGTCCCATAGCCAAAACAGGAAGTGAAAGGAAATACCAGGTTGTCACCAAAACTAGTGTCCCCATTGAAGATTGATGGGTAACCTCCCAAAAATTTGGGATTTATTTTCACTCTTGGTGATGGTGGTCACCAGGACAAATAGAGGGTGAATCTCCCTAACAGGGGCACAGACCGCAATAGAAAACCTGACAGGAGTTCTAATCTTACCAACCGCTCCGCTTCTGCCACCCCCCTCTGTCATTCCCTCCACTGGCTCCACCCCCCTGTCATTCCCTCCACTGGCTCCACCCCCTCTGTCATTCCCTCCACTGGCTCCACCCCCTCTGTCATTCCCTCCACTGGCTCCACCCCCCTCCGTCAATCCCTCCACTGGCTTCCGATTGCCCAACGCATTAAATTCAAACTACTAACACAGATATACAAAGCCATTCATAACGCTGCCCCAAACTAACTCACCGACCTGATACCCAAATACCACCCAACACGTACTCTTCGGCCTCACAAGACCTCCTACTTTCTAGCTCCCTGGTCTCCACCTCCCATGCCTGACTGCAGGACTTCTCCAGGACTTCCCCCATCCTCTGGAACTCACTACCCCAATCCATCAGTCTGCTCACCTTTAGGCGCACCCTGAAAACCCATCTCTTCAGGGAAGCCTTCCCCACCCTCACCTAACAGCCGATCTCCTCCACTCCTCCTACCACTCCATCCCCCACAGCACTTCCTCCTCTACACCCTCCCTCCTAGATTGTAAGCTCGAAAGAGCAGGGCCCTCGAACCCCTCGTGTATTGTTCTGTTATTGTATTGTCTCTTGTACTGTCCCCCCACTATAATGTACAGCGCTGAGCAAACCTTTTGGCGCTATATAAACTCTGTATAATAATAATAATAATAATAATCCTTCTACACTATATCCAAAAAAACAAAACGTTTTGTTTTTTTACTTGAAGTGAAAACCCAAACACCAAAACTCCATTTACCTGGTGCAACAGAGCGAGCGTTTCCACGAAATCACGCCAGTTGCACTTAGAGCAGCCCATTAACGTCAATGGGCTGCCCTATGCACAAGAAGAGCGCAAAAAAAAAAAAAAAAAAAAAAACTGCCTGACCAATTTAAAAAATTGCTCCGCACCAAAACGCATAGTATTGCATAGGGGTTTTCCCGTTTTGAATTTTTTCACACACGTTTTTGACACATTTTTGATGCTCTCAGAGTTTTTGTGCGAAACCAGCACACAATCAAGCAGAAGCGCATCAAAAATGTAAGCACTGCATTTTTTATGCGTTTTCACTGCATTTCCATTGAAGTCTATGGAACCAAAAACGCAACCTGCTGCTGGGAAAAAAAAAAAAGTCTCTGATCCTTGGAAAACGCAAAGATGTGAAAGTGACCCATAGGAAACCATGTTAAATGGACTGGTACTGCGTATCGGCAAAACAGAAAACGCACTGAAAAAGGCATTGGTGTGAACCAAGCCTAAGAATTGATGGCACCACTGTGCGTCTGCAAAAGGGCAGCAAGTATTTATGCGTTGCAAGAAAGCGTTCGACGCAAAGGTGTAAACGAAGTCTAAACCCTCATATAAGCTTTAACATGCAAGTTCAAAACTAGTGCAGGGAATTTTTTTCCTATGTGTTCCGGTGCAGGACGGCCTATTCAAATAAATGGTCTCTCGTGCTCACGCACATCGCAGGCTGCATGGCCACACAGGTGTGAACCTAGCCTAAGGAGTTTAATCTGCTTATTGATTTATTACAGGAACGTCTACCAAGCTGTCGATTTACGCAGCGCTTTACATATATATTGTACATTTAGATTAGCTTAAAATGTTGTCTTTCCTGGTTCTCCACTCCCCCCTAATAAACATGCTAACGAAATGGTAAAATAAATTCTGCTCCTAGATTGTAAGCTCCCAGGATCAGGGCCTTCCTAACCCTCTTGTATTGAACAGTATTGTTGCTGTATTGTCTCCCGTTATATTGTAAAGCGCTGAGCAAACTGCTGGCAATATATAAATCCTGTATAATAATAATAATGTTTACACGGCATAACTTATTTTAGCCCCAGTCATGTCATCACTGGGTCTCTGAGCTTCTCTATGTAATGCTGGCATGTCACGGTAGGCTTGTGGGAGGGGCCAGCAGGGTGCTGCACATAACTTCCTGAAAACATCAGAGCACCCTGCCCTCAGTACTGCTCTCAAAAGCAAGCAGTGGGCTGACTCTTGGGAGGATTTATGAAAATATCATAATGCCTTGACGGGTGGATGTCCGCCTGGAGGAATCGGCGTTCCAAGGCAGGCTGGATTTGCATGCAAACCACCCTAGATAAACACACACGTGATGCCGATCAACCGCAGATAAAAAGTGAAATCCCATCACTGAAAAGGGCGGATCAGGCCCAGTCAGGCTGGGAAGGAAAGGCCTAGAACACACACAAGGCCCGCAGGCTGAATCCGGCTCACCAGGCTGCAGCAGTGGGATGCTTCCTGCAGTCTCCTCCAAAAGCCCCTGTCCCGGTTGGGTCAGTCACACAGGCCATTTCATGTGGTCCTTGCACCTCTGCTGCAGCTGTGCCCCCCCCCCCCCCCCCATCTCTGCCCCCTCCTTGTCTGAGCAGCCCTAAATATGGGTGTAACATGTTACTAAAGGTGAACTTACGGCGAGGTTCACACCTATGCAGTTTGCACTGATGCGTTTTTGCAGTGCTTTTTGTGGTGCGTTTTTGCACCAGCATATTTTTGACGCGTTTTTTCTTCAACTTGTTGCTGGGCAGAATAAAACGCATCAAAAAAACACACTACGTGCTTTTCTGCAGCATCTCCATTGAAGTCTATAGAACCAAAAATGCAACTTTTTGCGTTTAAAAAAGTCCAAAAACTGCACCGGGTGAAAACATGGAGATGTGAACCTGTCCCATAGGAAAACATGTTACATGGACTGCTGTGTGTTATCGCAAAACGCAGCAGAAAACGCATAGGTGTGAACCTAGACTACCTGTAAGTACAGTAAATATTGTTCATTGTTTAGGAGATATTTACTTTAACAGCGCCGGCGATGTCACCAGCACATGTGCACTGCCCTCTCAATGTACGATGTGCTGTCCATTGAGAAAGCCACGCCAAGGCATCCGCACGCACATGCGCGGGAGTGACGTCATCACGGCTTGGCCAGTCGAACGCCCGCAATAGATACCTGTGGACCCTGACCCTAGGTTCACATCTGTGCGGGTGGTGCCGCTGCGGATCCACACGAAAATCCGTGCAGCCGCACCATCCGCACAGAGAATTGTGGACCCGCGGGCGGGTGCCATTAGTTCTAATGGCACACCACACGCACTAGAAAACGCAACCATAGTGGAAACCAAGGTTCCTGTGCGGGCTGCATTTTCCAAAGAAGTGCAGGGACTTCTTTCCCTGCGTGTCACGAGCACGGGAATGAATGGGCTCTCGTGCCCGCGCGGCCGCATAGATGTGAATTGGGGGTGAAGGAAGACTGGGTGAAGTTGGAAGCCCCGGGGAGCCGAGACAGTGCTCCGCTGGAGGGCTTTGTTTTTAGGTAAGTCTTTCAGCCCACGTTCACACTGATGCAGCGCGGAATTCACAGCGTTTTCAGTGTGAATTCCGCACCGCATCAGAATCGCACCCCGTTCAAGCGAACCGCTGCGGGTGTGTATGTTAAGTTAACAACACCCAGAAAGCAGT